GCTAAGAGAAAGAACTTTTTGGAGGGAGGAGGAAATAGAAAAAGATTGGAATGAATATGAAAATACATTTCATACATATATGGAAATATGGTGAAATCCCTTTGTATGATTAATATACACTTTTTTTTTTCAGTCATGGGGATTTAACTCTGGGCTTGGGCGCTGTCCCTCAGCTCTTCAGCTCAAGGCTAGAGCTCTACCACTTGAGCCACAGTGCCATTTCTGGTTTTCTGGTGGTTAATTGGAGATAAGAGTCTCATGGACTTTCCTGCCTGGGCTGGCTTTGACCTGTGATCCTCAGATCTCAGCATCCTGAGTAGCTAGGATTACAGGCCTGAGCCACCAGTGCCTGGCAATATACACTAATTTTAATAAAAAAAAGTTTGGTACAAATAACACTTTATGTTTCTCCTACACTGCTACATAAGAAAATAGTAATATGAGGATGTCTATGTTAAGACTTCATGACTTGGAGATCAAGGAATGTTACTTCTCTGTGCTGCCATGGGCTTTGTATATACGTAATGTGTCACTTCTATGTCACGGTTCCAGTTTGGGGGTTCTTGCCCTAATTTGATATATGACCTTCCCAAAGCATTTCATCTGTAATTGTTGAACCTCTATCCTCATGTATACACATGGATGTGTAATCTAAACTTCAACTTTACTCACTAGTAGTCTCCCAATCTGTTATTTTAAATGTTCCCACCTGCATCAGCCCTTCCTATCAGCACTGATACTCTTTTTTTTTATTGTGAAAATACTGTACATTTCTTATCAAGCATTGTAGCCTCCTCCTTTGTTTCCCTTTCCCATCCCTTCCCATCCTTCCCCTTCCTCCTCCCCCCCAAATCAAGCACTGATACTCTTTATGTATGTCTGGTCACACTATCATCTATTCGTGTTGTTTGGTGGTAGATAATCTTTCAGCTTAGAATTCTAAATTCAAAGATGGAAGTGGTGCTGTGGCTCAAGTGGTAGAGCACTAACCTCCTGAGCACAAAGAAGCTCAGAAATGTGCCCAAGTTAAAGTGCCAGGCCAAAAAAAAAAAAAGAAACAAAAAAGGAAGAAAAAACAATCCTAAATTCAAGAGAGCTTCGTGTGTGTGTGTGTGTGTGTGTGTGTGTGTGTGTGTGTGTGTGTGT